GTAAAACCTCTGTTGTCGTGACGACAAGGCGCCTCATGGGCTACACATACATGCAAACCTATGTGCGCAGTGTTTCCTCCAAAGGGGTCAGTTCGTGAGTCCACCGGCTTGTACGACACCCCGTCGTCTTAAACTGTATGACCTGGTCGGTAAGTGGGTACCCGGTAGGATGGAATCATTGGGATGTGTTACGGATGCTGCATGACTAAACTGTCAGGACAAAGGCACATACATATATTTTCGTAGTGCACTTACTGGACGTTGGCTTGGTATATAGAATAGTGAGTGAATGTTGTTTTACACCGCTTTTAGCAATATTCCAGAATATCACGGCGGGGGGCACCAGAAATGGGCTTCACACATTGTACCCATGTCGGGAATCGAACCCGGGTCTTCGGCGTGACGAGCGAACGCTTTAACCACTAGGCTACCCGACCGCCCCATGTAGAAGAAGACCTTTTGATATTATTATATAAGTTAATGGCATATATCATTCTAATACGCTGCCTCGCGAGAAATCCGGGTTAGACAGGTCCCCAGTATGCCGATGAGGAGAGGTGATTCAGTTGATCGGGTGATCATGTTCTCGGTTTATCGCGTTCCATCCTAACCCAACGGCGTGGGTCATTTCTTATCATACCAAATACTGGTTTGTCTGGTCCAGACTTGATTTCTCACAAGCTGTCATATATTGCAACGTTAAACAAATTACTGCAATGGTGAAGATAGCTTCAGCAGTCACCCCTATGCCTTGACGATAGTTACATTCAACACTTATAAACATCACAAATAATAATATTTAATACATTCAAAGTGTAAGCCTTCATATAAATACTAATGAACAATAACAACTCGCTAAAAATAAAAAAAACTTATAATTATGGATGTTAAGAGTTAATGACCACAGATACTAAATATTCCAAAACGGTTTATAACACAATTAAGACCGATAACGGTACAGCTGAATCGATACGTCGCAAGACAAGAATAAGTTCAAATCCAAAATTTACTTCTGTCTTCATTTATACAGCTACTAAACACCACTGCTGCAAAATACCACATCTACTGAATACCACAGCTACTGAATACCACATCTACTGAATACCACAGCTACTGAATACCACAGCTACTAAATACCACACAGAGGTACGAAAGTGAGACATAATACGTTCGCCTTTGTGGCAGGTATGCCTAAACAGACATGACCTCAGCATGTGAACGTTAAGCGTGTTTCAAAATAGTTTATGGTCTCATGACCCCCTCGGGCCCAATAAACATACATTGTGATTTATGCTATAGAGCGCCAATGTCCTGGAGCGTTGCGTTAGATCACAGTATCGATGCATTCGTTGTCATTCGTATCATTCCGAGACAAGCCAAAAATAGATGACGGAAAGATCCGAGTGATAACGAATGGTTGGCTTGCGTGATCAGAAATCTGAATTTTGATGATGTTGCTTCAAATTTCCGTATTCAATTATCAACGCAAATTGTAAAAATACCGTAAACGAATAGGCCTAATGCATTACAGATTCACCGTGATTTTATTTAATTATCTCAAGCTATCAGTACTTTAAAGAATTATGTAAATTTACAGATATTATCAGGAAAACTGTTAAAGGCCTCAGACTAAACCATGCCTGCTAATACAATGTCATTGTATTTTGAATCTCATATTCCGAGATCCGTGAAGATCCGGGGTAGAATTGGTCTTCAGCAACCTATGCTTGCCGTAAAAGGCGACTATGCTTGTCGTAAAAGGCGACTAACGGGATCGGGTGGTCAGGCTCTCTGACTTGGTTGATGCATGTCATCCATCCCAATTGCGTGGATCGATGCTCACTGGATTGTCTGGTCCAGACTCGATTATTTACAGACCGCCGTCATATAGCTGGAATATTGCTGAGTGCGGCGTTAAACAACAAACAAACAAAAATCATATTCCGAGGTCCTCGGCTTGAGGTGAATAAAGTTCTGTTTAATTCTGTTCACACAGGTGTGTGGCGGGGAGAGCAGGGTTGGCAGAGTTACCTCCCTGTAATTGGATCGTCTCGGCTGTGAAATTACATGCTGCAGGATTATTTCGGAATGATAGTCATTGAACGAAAAAGAGATTATCATGTATGAAAAATAGTTCAAAATCCGTGAGTGAGTGAATTTGGTTTTACGCCGCATTTAGCAATCTTCCATCAATATCACGGCGGGCGACACCAGAAATGGAATCGAACCTGGGTCTTAGGCTTGACGAACGAACGCTTTAACCTTTAGGCCACCCGACCACCTTTCAAAATCAATGATATATATCTGGAAAGCAGACGGACGGAACAGAAATGAATGCCGCTTTAAACAGTATTTCAGTCATACCATAACGTGTCAGCTTACTATGGGAAGAAAGCCCGAAGTGATGCAGGTCTAAGACGTTAACAGCTTTGATGAAAACACGCTTGAGGATTCTGGGATTCGGATCCTGTCAGGTGTTTGAGGGAAGCAACTCTGCACTGCAAGTTACTTACACTATACCGACATGTAAAAGCTAGATAAGAAAGCCGCATTGGTATCAGCAATGTGTGCCAGTTCTGTAAAAGACGTGCATAAGGGACGATAAACCTAAATAGACAGATTGCCCGGTTCTCCTGGAATAGTGCTCTACACAGCGTTTTGATTGGCTGGTTGCGTACAACTTGTCGCATGATAATAGAGCACATCCTATTTCGTAGAACCCACGTCCAATAAGTTGCATTAGTCTAAGTTGGCCCGACTTGGCCTGTTCACACGATGCAATGTGTTGCATGCAAGAAATTGTATACAACTACAGTAAACTACGTTAATAACGAACACGCTTATATCGAACTGACGGATATAGCGAACTTATTTTTAGTCCCGACCATTTGTTGTATATATGCTGTATGAATGCTTATAACGAACTACGGTTATTACGAACTAAAATTAATGGTCCCCTCGAGTTCGTTATTACCGTAGTTTACTGTAGTTGTACCCTGTGGGCGCTCCTTAACCCAGGAAACCAAGATAGTTGCTATAATGTTAGAGAAAGAAAACTGGTCATATCCATAGAAAATGTTTGCGTAGTTATGGTGAAATATAAATAACGCCATTTAAATATGTTGCAAGTGATTTCATGGCTTTTGATTGGCCTACCAAACACAATTGTTGCATTTACGTTCCCACATACCGAAACATTTTCAGGCCACGCCCAGTAGCGGACTACTGTTTGTTGATTGGCTGGTAATAGGGTGGGCGGGGCTTGGGTTCATTATTCACTTTTATGTGTTGTTGTTTAGTTTTTGTGCGTTTTTGTTAAAATAAGTAGTCTGTGAAATTATTATTATTATTATTGACTTATTAATATAAATTGTCTGTGTGTACAAACGTAAAAAAACGCAGATTTACACAGTGTGCACACCAGTTTTACGTATATACCCCCTCACAAGCAAATAATATTGAAGCGAATTCTATAAAAAAATAAATTTCATGTTTCTCATGACTTTGTTTTTATGAGTATGAATTTTCCAGAGGTTCTCTCCGTGGGGATTCCGGGTGCCAGCAAGTCCCGGTGTTCCATGTCTATCGGAAGGACGACTACCGAGTATCGGGTGGCTGTGTGGCCTGGTGGAGTATGTCGGCCTATCCTACGTTGCTGGTGGCCTGAACCACTGCTTGGTATGGCCCAGATTAGTTAGAGGCCGCGCCGAGTCGAATATTGATGACAGCGGCGTAAAACAACATTCAACATAAACGCCCCTTTGATAATGTTCCTCTGATAATACCCCCTGATAATGTTCCCCTGATAATACCCCTCTCACAATGTTCCTGTGATAATGTTCCTCTGATAATACCCCTCCCACAATGTTCCTGTGATAATGCCCTCTGATAATGTTCCCGCCCCTCTGATAATGCTCCTCTCACGATCTTCCTGTGATAATGCCCTCTGAAAATGTTCCTCTCACGATGTTCCTGTGATAATGCCCTCTGATAATGTTCCCGCCCATCTGATAACGCTCCTCTCATAATGTTCCTCTGATAATACCCTCTGATAATGTTCCCGTCCCTCTTAACAATTTTAAAACATTCAATAGAAACAACATTTTATTGCTGTGTGGCATAATATCATCTAAACAGAAAGATATGTAAGTAATAAATTGATAATACATAATGGTAAATCATTAAAATGTCATGGGCATTACAGTGATGTCATACAAAATATATCTCCGCAGTTTTCACTCTAATCACATGAATAACTGTAAAACATCTCATTCGCTTATAAAAGACAACTTTCTCTTAATAAGCCCTCATCTGAGTATTTACAATGTCTATGTGATGCTACACCTCCGTTATAGCGCGAGTAATCATGACCGTCCGAAAACGTATTATGTATCCGACGATACGTGTGACGATTCCGACTTGGGTAAAATGGATTCATTGTATAAAACTGTTTGTTTGTTGTTTAACGCCACTCTCAGCGATATTCCAGCTATATGACGGCGGTCTGTAAATAATCCAGTCTGGACCAAGACAATCCAGTGATTGACATCAAGAGCATCGATCTACGCAATTGGGATACGACACGCATCAAGCAAGTCAGCTAGCCTGACCACCCGATCCCGCTAGTCGCCTCTTTCCACAAGCATAGGCTGCTGAAGATCTATTCTGACCTGGACCTTCACTGGTGTACAATAAAAATACATAACACTGTTTCGGTTATTAGCTCAAATTGTACACTGTATAGACAGTGTGTTGACTCGGTAATCCCGTTGTATGATTTTATTTAACTCTATACAGAGACTAAAACAACTTATCTGGCAAATGGGGATTCACATGAATTTTCAATCTAAAAATGGATCTCTTGGATATTGCTGGTTTTGTTTGTTTGTTTGTTTGTTGTTTAACGCCGCACTCAGCGACATTCCAGCTGTATGACGCCGGTCTGTAAATAATCGAGTCTGGACCAGACAATCCAGTGATTGACATCATAAGCATCGATCTACGAAAATTAGCATCAACCAAATCAGCGAACCTGACCACCCCATCCTGTTAGTCGCCTCTTACGACAAGCATAGTCGTCTTTTACAAGCATTGGTTGCTGAAGACCTATTCTACCCCGGAGCTTCACGGGTGCTGAATAATCGACAGACGATGTGTGACAGTCCATAAGGCCACTCTGTCATAAGGTTTGTTTCAGTGCGTGTCTTACTCATCTGTACTACATTATCGTATCGCTCAAGAATTTTAAAGAAAACAACCATTCGAACTGTCCGCGTTACATTTACGGGAAGAAAACTGTCCTCCATGTGACCAAATAGCGGTTTTTCATTGGACAAGAGATAATGTCCACATCTGTATTCCTAAAACCGTCTTCTGTTCACTGAATGACCGAGAAAAAACCGATGATTTTTAGCAGTACATGTTCAGAATGAATGAGGGCAGTGGTTGGCACGTTTGTCTCTGTGCAAAGTTACCTCCCTTAAGCGTTCCTGGATCCGACAAGGAGTTCGTAGCACTATGGTTTCACCGGTGCACATGCGTTTCACAAAACCGAGAAACGTTTACGAACTTCACCCCAACAAACTATCACATTATCCATTTGGACATAGCCATCTCAGTCATATGGTGAATCGTTTTGTGAAAGTTGGCAGATGCAGTGGAGTATATGGAATTTTTAAACATATAATAAATTAATTATAATTTACATGACAGATTTAATAAATAGTCACAAATCCAAAAACAGTATTTGTTAAATTACTCACTGCCTTTGCAGTTACATTTTTGTGTTTTTATCAATATGGGCGTTATTTTCATTCGAATTCGAAGCCGATTCAGCCGGAGAGACATGAACCGTGTACAGGTGCTCGAAGCGGGGCGTAATGGCCATCCAAATAATAATTAAAACCGCTGTCACCCCACTTAACCCCGCCATGAGGAAGAACACCGCCCCCTTCACTGAACCAACAGTCGCGGAATACACGGAGGTGTACGCAACCTGCGATATCAAGTTCATAACAGTCTCAACAACTCCTATTCCGGCAAAGATGGCGCCTTGTTCTGTTGGTGACGTCATGCGAGACATACTGCCCCGGATGATGGGTATCGTTGTCGCACTCACCACGCCGACCACCGGAACTAGATACAGCATCCATCCGGTTGTAGCTAAGCCTTCCAAAATACATGCTAAGGCAGCGTCTACAGTGCCAACCAAAGCAATAGTTTGATCACGAACGTGTCTTTGGAGGAATTTGATGGCTAACAAAGACCCTACACTTGTTAGCCCACTTCTGAGCGCACCGAAATAACCAACCTGAACAGAATCCCAACAAAAAGGTCGATCTAAAGCGTATAACGTTTCAACGCCAAATCGACCAAGGACGCTTAAAACTCCGAAAAGAAAAATTGAAAGCATTAAGCTGTAGGCCCCTCTTCTGTTTCCCCTCTTGAAGAAGTAGAATCCAAAAACGTTTTTGAAATGCTTCAGAGGAGACCACGGCTTGTTAGGTCCTCTCTCCATTGTTTCAGGGAGGAACATTATTATGATGCTGGCAAGGAACATCGTACATGTCATCATGATGTTCAGGTTTAGATATCCAACTAACGGTATAAGGAACCCAGTGACTAGCATGCCAGTGCAGGTAGCTAACGCCAGGCATGCCTCCACGGCAGACGTTGCCAGGATCCTCTCCCGTCCATTAGACGTGATGTCAGCCGTGTACGCGAAACTCGCCACGAGGAAGGCACACATTGACCCCCCGAGGCCGTCGAGAAAATACGCTATGTAAAAATATTGGATATCCAGCTCTAGAGCCATGATAACCACACAGAAAACGTATCGGAGAAAGTAACCGAAGCTAGGGATGAAGAACAACATCTTCCTGCCGAGGTAGTCGGAGCTAGAACCCAGGATGACGTTGATGAAGATCGCAGGGACGTTGTTGACGACGGCGAGGAGAAGGAGGAAGTCGGACGTCTCTTGTTGCACCTTCACTAAAGGGTCATCTGTCGTAGATGTCGTGTTGACCCCGCAGGCGGAGCTTCCGTCGTTGGACGTGCTTGTGTTGTAGCCGTTGAGGATTTGGGCGTGGACATACTGGCTGAGGATCGGCGTGGACGACGCATTGGCCAGGGCTACGAGGAAAGTGATCACTGCGCATGCTGTTGCGCACCAGAGGAAAGGAACGGATCTGACCTTCCGGTTCTCGTGCTTTTCTGGAAGAAGAGGGGAATTCTCCTTCCTGTCCATTTTAAAGAGGTCAGTTTACACTTGTAATGTTTTGAGCATGTAGCGCAGACGGATATCTGAAAGAAATTGAAAAGCAAATTACATTGAAAGTTACCCCGTGACGAAATCGTTTGAAAATCAATAATACAAGGCATAATTTGTTTGTTTGTTGTTTAACGCCCCACTCAGCAATATTCCAATTTGCAATGAATGTTGTTTGTTGTCATCCTTGGAGAAGAAATTCAGTCTGTAACTATCCTGTATCCCTACACACGTGTTAACTGCCACGGCTCCCATTCCCGAAGGCTATGAACACACACAAAGTTCGAGCATCTTTACTTTACTAGGAAAGTGTTTTCCCAAATTTAACATTTGTTACAATTGACCACTTTCTAAATTGCATCGTGTGTTCATAGATTTCGGCCATGGGAGCCGTGCCTGTTTCCAGTTGTCAGAGGGGTACACAAAGTACGTGATCTAGACTACCAGTTGTCGGACTGTCATTTTGTGGAAGCCTCGGTGGCTGAGTGGGTTAGATGGCTGACTTTGTGTGCTGGCGATTAGGTGCCTCACTCTGGCAAGTGTGGGTTCGAATTCCGGACGGGACTCAACCCCAAAAAGTACGAACATCTGTACTTTACTAAGAAAGTGTTATCCCAAATAAACTTCTAGCTAGACAAGGAATCGATTCCAGATCACCATCGTCTTTTTCCTGCAAATGTGGCCTATTATGGACCAAACCTGTGCAAACATGGAGCGAGGATTGTCGTCTCATGAGACGAGCATTGTCAAAACGGCATATGCATTAGGGATATCGTGCTCAACAAAACATTTCATGCCACCATTTGCAGCAAGCATGGCGTGTTATGGAGCAGCTTCGTGCCGCGCCCTGTCGTCTCTAGAGACAAGCATGGCGTGTTATGGACAACCCTGTGCAGGGACCTGTCGTCTCTAGAGACAAGCATGGCGTGTTATGGACCAACCCTGTGCAGGGACCTGTCATCTCTAGAGACAAGCATGGCGTGTTATGGACAAACCCTGTGCAGGGACCTGTCGTCTCTAGAGACAAGCATGGCGTGTTATGGACCAACCCTGTGCAGGGAGATGTCCTCTCTTGAGACAAGCATGGCGTGTTATGGACCAACCCTGTACAGGGACCTGTCGTCTCTAGAGACAAGCATGGCGTGTCATGGACCAACCCTGTGCAGGGACATGTCATCTCTAGAGACAAGCATGGAGTGTTATGGACCAACCCTGTGCAGGGACCTGTCGTCTCTAGAGACAAGCATGGCGTGTTATGGACCAACCCTGTGCAGGGACATGTCGTCTCTAGAGACAAGCATGGCGTGTTATGGACCAACCCTGTGCAGGGACCTGTCGTCTCTAGAGACAAGCATGGAGTGTTATGGACCAACCCTGTGCAGGGACATGTCGTCTCAAGAGACAAGCATTGAGTGTTATGGACCAACCCTGTGCAAGGACCTGTCGTCTCTAGAGACAAGCATGGCGTGTTATGGACCAACCCTGTGCAGGGACCTGTCGTCTCTAGAGACAAGCATGGCGTGTTATGGACCAACCCTGTGCAGGGACATGTCGTCTCAAGAGACAAGCATTGAGTGTTATGGACCAACCCTGTGCAGGGACCTGTCATCTCTAGAGACAAGCATGGCAGGTTATGGACCAACCCTGTGCAGGGACATGTCGTCTCAAGAGACAAGCATGGCGTGTTATGGACCAACCCTGTGCAGGGACCTGTCATCTCTAGAGACAAGCATGGCGTGTTATGGACCAACCCTGTGCAGGGACCTGTCATCTCTAGAGACAAGCATGGCAGGTTATGGACCAACCCTGTGCAGGGACATGTCGTCTCAAGAGACAAGCATGGCGTGTTATGGACCAACCCTGTGTCGGGGCTTTTCGTCTCTAGAGACAAGCATGGAGTGTTATGGACCAACCCTGTGCAGGGACATGTCGTCTCAAGAGACAAGCATTGAGTGTTATGGACCAACCCTGTGCAAGGACCTGTCGTCTCTAGAGACAAGCATGGCGTGTTATGGACCAACCCTGTGCAGGGACCTGTCGTCTCTAGAGACAAGCATGGCGTGTTATGGACCAACCCTGTGCAGGGACATGTCGTCTCTAGAGACAAGCATGGCGTGTTATGGACCAACCCTGTGCAGGGACCTGTCGTCTCAAGAGACAAGCATGGCGTGTTATGGACCAACCCTGTGCAAGGACCTGTCGTCTCTAGAGACAAGCATGGCGTGTTATGGCCCAACCCTGTTCAGGGACCTGTCGTCTCAAGAGACAAGCATGGCGTGTTATGGACCAACCCTGTACAGGGACATGTCGTCTCTAGAGACAAGCATGGCGTGTTATGGACCAACCCTGTACAGGGACATGTCGTCTCTAGAGACAAGCAAGGCGTGTTATGGGCCAACCCTGTACAGGGACCTGTCGTCTCTAGAGACAAGCATGGCGTGTTATGGACCAACCCTGTGCAGGGACATGTCGTCTCTAGAGACAAGCATGGCGTGTTATGGACCAACCCTGTACAGGGACATGTCGTCTCTAGAGACAAGCATGGCGTGTTATGGACCAACCCTGTGCAGGGACATGTCATCTCTAGAGACAAGCATGGCGTGTTATGGACCAACCCTGTACAGGGACATGTCGTCTCTAGAGACAAGCATGGCGTGTTATGAACCAACCCTGTGCAGGGACATGTCGTCTCTAGAGACAAGCATGGCGTGTTATGGACCAACCCTGTGCAGGGACATGTCGTCTCTAGAGACAAGTATGGCGTGTTATGGACCAACCCTGTGCAGGGACATGTCGTCTCTAGAGACAAGCATGGCGTGTTATGGACCAACCCTGTGTCGGGGCTTTTCGTCTCTAGAGACAAGCATTGAGTGTCATGGACCAACCCTGTGCAGGGAGATGTCGTCTCTAGAGACAAGTATGGCGTGTTGTGGACCAACCCTGTGCAGGGACATGTCGTCTCTTGAGACAAGCATGGCGTGTTATGGACCAACCCTGTGCAGGGGCTTTTCGTCTCTAGAGACAAGTATGGCGTGTTATGGACCAACCCTGTGCAGGGACATGTCGTCTCAAGAGACAAGCATGGCGTGTTATGGACCAACCCTGTGTCGGGGCTTTTCGTCTCTAGAGACAAGCATGGCGTGTTATGGACCAACCCTGTACAGGGACCTGTCGTCTCTAGAGACAAGCATGGCGTGTTATGGACCAACCCTGTACAGGGACCTGTCGTCTCTAGAGACAAGTATGGCGTGTTATGGACCAACTACGTGCCGGGTCCCTGGGCAGACTTAACCAGGAAATAATGTGACTTACCTGACAGCATCCGATGTTTTCCAGTTTCAAGCTGGAAACAGAACATGCGAACATTTCAGGAAACAGCTTGCGATAAAATGCTGTATGATAAATCAGACCATTTTAGATGATACGTTCTCCTGGGACAATTGCGAACCATGGGCTATAATATTAATCTAATATCAATTTATTTTCCTGATACAAACGCCATGTAGCCAACCCTATAATAAAAAAAATAGCTTCAGTAATGTGATTGTTTGATTTGATTTCGTGAAATAATTTTATCACGGGACCGTTAATATCATGGGGTTTTATCACAACAGGTGCCGCTTGTTTGAATATTGACGCCCTGAACAATTGGCGGTGACTGCATATATAAAGCGCGCTCATGCATAATTCAGAAATAACTTTAGTGATTGAGTTGGTTTGGTTTATTGCCCTTTGAACAGAACTTAATGTGCAACGCGGCGTGTCAGCTGGATGTAGGATGGTGATGCACGGCTCGGGTATGGTGCTGACACACCTTGATACGTAATCAGGATAAATTTGGGAATCGAACCGACGAGCAAAGGGACGCAACTCTGCACAGCGAAATGCGGCACCTCAGACGACTGGTCTATTCGTGTCCCTTACTTTCGCACGAACAAGAGTCAGTATCAAACTAAAAGCCTTGAAGCAGAATCCTCGCGAAACAAAGTGGAAAAGTTTCCGTTGTCTTTTTCTCTTCACTGGAGGTAGGTGTCATGGTGACAGACACAGGTAAGGGATCCGGTACAGGAATTTCACTGGAGGTAGTTGTCATGGTGACAGATACAGGTAAGGGATCCGGTACAGGGTCTTCACTGGAGGTAGTTGTCATGGTGACAGATACGGGTAAGGGATCCGGTACAGGGTCTTCACTGGAGGTAGGTGTCATGGTGACAGACACAGGTAAGGGATCCGGTACAGGATTTTCACTGGAGGTAGGTGTCATGGTGACAGGCACATGTAAGGGATCCGGTACAGGGTCTTCACTGGAGGTAGTTGTCATGGTGACAGATACGGGTAAGGGATCCGGTACAGGAATTTCACTGGAGGTAGGTGTCATGGTGACAGACACATGTAAGGGATCCGGTACAGGGTCTTCACTGGAGGTAGGTGTCATGGTGACAGACACAGGTAAGGGATCCGGTACAGGATTTTCACTGGAGGTAGTTGTCATGGTGACAGACACTGGTAAGGGATCCGGTACAGAGTATTCACCGGAGGTAGTTGTCATGGTGACAGACACAGGTAAGGGATCCGGTACAGGGTCTTCACTGGAGATAGTTGTCATGGTGACAGATACGGGTAAGGGATCCGATACAGGGGCTTCACTGGAGGTAGTTGTCATGGTGACAGACACAGATAAGGGATCCGGTACAGGGTTTTCACTGGGGGTAGTTGTCATGGTGACAGACACAGGTAAGGGATCCGGTACAGGGTCTTCATTGGAGGTAGGTGTCATGGTGACAGACACAGGTACGGGATCCGGTACAGGGTCTTTATTGGGGGTAGTTGTCATGGTGACAGACACAGGTAAGGGATCCGGTACAGGGTCTTCACTGGAGGTAGGTGTCATGGTGACAGACACAGGTAAGGGATCCGGTACAGGGTCTTCACTGGAGGTAGTTGTCATGGTGACAGACACGGGTAAGGGATCCGGTACAGGGTCTTCCTCTATCCCTGTTTCATCCTTAAAGAGGAAATACTTTTTTAAAGAGAGTAATGATTAGTAACATCGTATCTGAATGGTTTGATTGTAATTTGGAAATATCCGTAGCAAATACTTGTATGCGGGTGGGATTTTATCTAAAAACCTTTGTCCCAGAAAATGCTTGAAAAAATTATAATAATTATGTTTCCTCCCCTTGAAAGGTAAAGAAATTCTCTGTCACAAAAATACAAATGGTAGGTCCGTTGAGGGCAGGACCCGTAAAGATCCGGGTCAGAATAGGTCTTCAGCAACCCATGCTAGCCGTAAAAGGCGACTATGCTTGTCGTAAGAGGCGACTAACGGGATCGGGTGGTCAGGCTCGCTGACTTGGTTTATGCATGTCATCGATCCTAATTGCGTGGATCGATGCTCATGATGTCAATCACTGGATTGTCTTGGTCCAGACTCCATTATTTCCTGACCGCCGTCATATAGCTGGAATATTGCTGAGTGTGGCGTTAGACAACAAACAAACAACCAACCAACCTTACGTGGAAGGTGAGACCTAGACAGCCTGAACAGTATGTGGATTTATTAAGTCGTAAGTTGAAGTTATGACATTATGTGTACCCTTTCCATGACATATGTGTACCCTTTCCATGACATAATGTGTACCCTTTCCATGACATAATGTGTACCCTTTCCATGACATTATGTGTATCCTTTCCATGACATTATGTGTACCCTTTCCATGACATAATGTGTACCCTTTCCATGACATTATGTGTACCCTTTCCATGACATTGTGTGTATCCTTTCCATGACATAATGTGTACCCTTTCCATGACATAATGTGTACCCTTTCCATGACATAATGTGTACCCTTTCCATGACATTATGTGTATCCTTTCCATGACATTATGTGTACCCTTTCCATGACATAATGTGTATCCTTTCCATGACATAATGTGTACCCTTTTCATGACATAATGTGTACCCTTTCCATGACATAATGTGTATCCTTTCCATGACATAATGTGTACCCTTTCCATGACATTATGTGTACCCTTTCTATGACACTATGTGTATCCTTCCTATGACATTATGTGTACCCTTTCTATGACACTATGTGTATCCTTCCTATGACACTATGTGTATCCTTCCTATGACACTATGTGTATCCTTCCTATGACACTATGTGTATCCTTTCCATGACATAATGTGTACCCTTTCCATGACATAATGTGTACCCTTTCCATGACATTATGTGTATCCTTTCTATGACATAATGTGTATCCTTCCTATGACACTATGTGTATCCTTCCTATGACACTATGTGTATCCTTTCTATGACATAATGTGTATCCCTCCTATGACACTATGTATCAACGTTGATACTTACATGGAATTGAAATTCTTCGAAACTGTTCCTTCTTCTTTGATGTTGTCATTTGAAAGATTATGAAAATCGGGCCAAATTTGGATTCCAAGTATCGAATGGTAATTCCGGTTCTTTGAGAGAAATATAAAACAAACGAGGACGATCGATAGTCCGTGTGCATACTGGGTGCACAAATCTGTTATTATATCTAGCACACGATCATCACATAACTATATAGCCCAACGGAGGTTTTGTGTTTTGACACAAATGATCTCAACAGATGCGCCTGAATCAGGTTTGGGAGTGAGTGAGTGAGAATGGTTTTACGCCGCTTTTAGCAATATTCCAGCAATATCACGGCGGGGGACACCAGAAATGGGCTTCACACATTGTACCCATGTCGGGAATCGAACCCGGGTCTTCGGCGTGACGAGCGAACGCTTGAACCACTATGCTACCCGACCACCCCGAATCAGGTTTGGAGCTCTTCTACAACCGACGTCGACCTCGCCCATTAGGCGTTCACGGTTTAAAGGTGTGTTGATATGCGATGCTCCTCGGTAGATACACTCCCCCTACCCGCCGCCATCACCCCCACACACCTGTGTACCTCGTACATAACGTTACGCAGGAAAGTGTTACAAATTAATATAAAAACTTCAAAGATGCAAACTCCTTTTTTCAAAAACACCAGACGCAAAGAAGTTCACATTAATTTACTTGTAAACACTTGAAACGTTAATATCATTCTTTCAGCAGCTGACGAAAAGCAATGAAAATTTAAAAGCATTTACCTGTGCTGTTAGTAAGAAAGCGTCAGCCCTGCATTATCTGACCTCGGGGAATGACACTTAAATGTATGTCGCTATAATGCTGACTAAGTCATTCCGGAAAAACTACATATTTTAACCTTGGAAAGATTAATGGACCTCTCTACTAAGTATGTCCCGTCAAAAAGAATCTAGACTGTATATCAGTCTTGACTTCATTGTTTGTGATTTCATTGTGATGCCAAGCGTGTGGCTGCTTGTACTGGCCTGCACTTATGCCGAATATATAGTGCTAGCTCACTGAGATACCATGCCGCAGTTTAACATGAATACCCCACTCAGACACAATATACTGACTCCGAGCCGACCAGTCCTTGTTTAAGCCCCTTAATGCCGAGCGCCGGACAGGGTAACAACAAGTACCATCTTTTAATGTCTTTTGATATGACAAGGAAATAGGATCGAACCACAGACCTTCCGGCCTCCAGGCAAACACGCTATCCAGGAACACATATGCTGAAGCATTACAAGCTGTGTATGTGAAAATGCATGCTCAATTTAATTTTGATTATTTATTTTTAAAAGGTAAGTTAATTAAATAACATCGTATTCCAATTGCGTGGATCGATGCTTATGATGCCAATCACTGGATTGTCTGGTCCAGACTAGATTATTTACAGACCGCCGTCACATAGCTGGAATATTGATGAGTGCGGCGTTTAACAACAAACAAACAAACAAATCTGATGCCATAGTCTTTTGGTACCTGGTTTATAAACAACATCGCTATCATTATTATGACCAGCATTATTTCTACAATAAACGATATATTTTTGCTTCGTGATTTAAAGAAATGTGATAACACGAATTCGAATCTGATATTAATGTTAAATATGTATTCTGTATTCTGCTCACAAATAGTAAGTAATTAGGACAACACTGTCTCTGAGCGCATCCTTGGGGTCATGAAAACCATGTATCACAGACTAGGGATTAGCAGTGCCATGGACCGTGAACTTTGTTGTCTTAAGCTGTAGGGGAAATGGGATGTAGGGGTTTTGGGAGGTTACCCGCAAAGGAGGGTAGGAGGATCAAAATCACGTGATCGATATTGTCTTTGATCTCCAAGCAGGCATTGATAGTAGGTTTGCGGCCATTCGTCTTGCAGCGCCAGGTTCACTACCCGCAGGGGCCATCACTGAGACCTCTTTAAGTCGTCATGGTGG